ATATTTATATGTAACAGCACCATTAAATGTTATCTAACAAAACACTACATCACTCTGATGTGATGTCCTGGAATCCTAATCCAGACTGATCCCTGTACCCTGTTGTAGGGTCTGTGTACGAAGCAATAAAATAATCAGGAATTAAATGGTTTCAAACAGACTGGCTGTCCACAAGATTTACTGCCATATAGGCACAGGAGATCTGTCACTCAGACCGACAGCTCACATGCATGGGGTTTAATAAAACTCCACAGGACCTGTCACAGGTCTATGATTAGATCATGAGTTGATTGGGTTTGAGTCAAGTGCCAATGCTAAAATGGCAGCGTTAATTCTCTTGCCAAAAACATAATTACATCTTCTTGCTAAAACGATGTATAAAAACTCTCATTCACTCATGATATCACACTCATTGTAAACACTCACTCAGGTGCTATATCTGGTTGGTTCCCATGAAAACCATTTCTGACTGTTCTGGGTAAAAACAGGTCTTGGAAAATCCTAAGACTCAGAATTACTTTCACACAGGGGACAAACTGCAGCCTGTCCTTAGGGCTCTGGCCGCTCAGGGCTGTTAATCGCGTCCTTCGGCCTTCGCCTTTGGTCTCCTGAAGAACCAGGACAGCAGCCTGTTGCACGACTGTGGCTGGAAGCCAAAAGAGAAGTTGGACAATTCACAGCCGTCAGAGGGAGAAAGCGACCCATCTGCGGGGGGTGGACAGCCTGGCCGGCCACCGAGATCCACGGAGGGCTGGCGGAGAAAACCGAGAACCGACCGGACACGCAGTCCCGCCGCGGATCTCGGAAAAGAGCAGGTCTGGCGGGATCAGGACAAGGAGGGAATATTCTCAGACTGGGAACAGGCACCGGCTTGTACAGACCACGGAATAAGCTTTGTTTTCAGACGCCCAGAACCTCTCAATCCGGTGAGCGCTACCCGAACAAGGGTGTCTGAATAACCGCGCTCCGGGGCCGTGGCGAGTGGGGGCTCACTGCCTGGGTCATCGCTCGGCAGCAGGCGACCGGGAGAGATGGCCATACCGGGTCCGGGCGGCGCCGGGCGGAGACGAGCTGCGGGGCGGGCGATTGCGATCGGTCCCCTGGCGACTGGGAGCTCTGGAGTAACAGGAAGGGCTTGCCACAAGAAATCCGCAACGGCGGCGAAACGGGGAAGCCAGGCATGGCAAGCATCCTCAATATGCATAAGAAGGGCTACAAAACGGGGGACACCCATGGGCTCGTCTTGCCCCTTTGGTAGTTAGTGGCTACTTTGTCCAAGCGTCTCTCTCAGCTGGTTCTTGAACGAAGCCAGTGGAGGTCATCACGACGGCCGGGCAGCCTCTTCCACACTTGTGTCCTCTGACCTGTGTTTCGCTCTCTTATCTCCTTAGGCATTGCGGAGATACAGAAAGTGAGCAGAACATGGGGTTGTAGTAGGAGTTGGGTCGGCAACGTTTTGGGTTTCTTGGTGTCACCTCCCGAAAGCATACGTACACTTTCACACTGATGTAGCAGGTGCCCGCTGCATTTCTAACTGTCTAGAACTAAGGAAGGGATCGCAAGTATGAGCATGATCACTATGGAGTATGAGCACGATCACAAAAGGGGACCAGGAGTATGATCTTTTTTTCTTCTTTCTGGACTGTTTGCTGAAGCCTTTTCTGCCGCTGCCTCCGACAGGAAACAACTGTTCGGATAGCCCGCGGCCTGCACAGAGCAGCAGGCCTCCTGGGCTGTCTCTGCTGAGCAAACCGCCATACGAATGAAAGGGCTTTCTCCAGCGCTGGTGCCTTCTGCCCTCTCGCTGTGACGGGAAGAAGTGGCTCTGATTTATTGTTCTCTCTCTCTCTCTTCGGAACCTCAGTTTGCTCCTTCGAAGCCAACAGATGCAGCCCTCGCTCCCCACTCCCCGCACCCTGACCTCTCCGAGTCATTTCTCCACTGGCTTGTGTCTCAAAGAAAAACCAAGCCCCTCGGGTCCACCTGAAATACGTTTTACATGCCCTGAAAATGCAGTTGCGCTGTAAAAACTTCAGTGTTATTACTTGCTTCATGATGACGGCATCAACAGCAGAGATTGTATTAATTTAATCTCTTCCCAGCCGCTACATATCAAATATAAATATATACATATAATTCCTATCACAAAATAGATGCAGATTCTCCTCTCTGAAGATCTGACCAAATGATCAAGACCACGTTTGTTCAGAACATATAGAAAACCACATATTACCAATTGATAAGGAGTATAATGACTAATACCTAGTAAGAACTTTAGACATCTCCATTTGTAAGCCTTAATGTTGCTCGGCAATTCAGGGCTTTCGTCTGTCACAATGATTAAGCGCATAACCTTCAAAGTGTTTTAAAACAATCGAAAGGCAAATCAGACACACGAATCCTCTGTGTGGTAGCGTAGCTGCTTTGTAGTTGTTAAATGTAAGAAAGCGAATTTGATACTGCCTCAGGAGGCTAGTCAGTCAGATTAATACGGACAGTATTCAGTTTTTGTAGTTAAAAGCATTCGTAATTTTCAACCAATGTGGCATTCACTATTAAGGAGTAGTGAGGAAAAAGGTAAAACCGTGTAACAAAAAAAAAGTCATTTTTTTCCTTAGACGCAGTCATTTCCACACCGCTGCGCGTACACGCATTTACATTGTGGCCGAAAACTGGGGCGATGTTTTATTTGATCAAAGCAAAATGTTCGGAGCTGTTCCCTATTCGTTTAAAGACGTGCTGGCGTTTGCGCACCCCTTGCTTAATAGGTCATTGAAACACATCGCGAACTTCTTCATGAGAGTCACCTTAGAGAAACTAGATCAAGCTTTATCAGGGCCGGTCCGGAATCCTAATTCATGCCCACATCAGAAGGGGAGAATCAGCACAGGGAGTTCGTGCAGAATAACAATCCCCTCGGTTTCTGAGGTCTTGCCTGCAGTTCGTTCAACAGCTTTGACTGAAAATCTCACCGACCGCTTTCCAAAGCCATTCAAAAGTGTGTGAGGCGCTCAGGCTGTGTGTAAAAACGTGATATTCAGAAACACGCTCCTTAAGGACATCTCATTACCGCGAGTAAAACAGCACAGGGCAGTTCTGGAGTGCTAAAACAGAATGTGTAAGTTGTAAGCTTTTCATTTTAACTTTCCCCAAGACTTATTTATCTTATCCTGGGCTTCAATCCAGCAATACTCTTCCCCAACTTTCTGCCAAAGAGCTAAGTATGTTCCTCTGAGCCTCTGAGCATCCCCATCCACATCCCTGCCGACTGCGTGATCCCGGCACGCCAAGCGCAGTCGCCGGCCAGCAGAAGCCAAGGCAGGCTTCCTAACCGAGCGAAGGTCCTAAACTCCCGCGTATGTGTGTTTGTTCTGGGGGTGACCTTGAAACCTGAACTCTGATATCGACTTTCGGTGTCTCTTCACCTGATTTCCATTTCATTTCTGTGCAATGCACAGATGTAAACCGCAGTTCCCCCAGACGGACATGCCTTCTTTTGCAGTGAGATGTAACACACAACAGCAGTTTTCCCCCCAATTCTTCAGAATCCAGCGACAACAACGTAAACACTTCATTTCAAAGCATGATACCTTTATGTTACACGGGTACCTAATGTTAAAAATGAAGTTTTTTTTTAATTCTTTGAAAGGAATGAATGTTCAATGTCCTCCTTCATTAACTACAGGGCACGGAGCGACGCACAAGTCTGATCAGGAATCTGACAACGGCTGATTTCAGACACAGAGAAATAGATACCAAGCATCGGTGACGTGTTTTAAACTTATTAAGGAATTACAGCATTGATAAATAATTAAAGTATCATTATGATATGTCGTATTTTTACAGTTTCTCGCATTCATCGTAGCGCGCAGAGCTCCAAAATGATTGATACGAGCGACTAAGTAGCCCTCGGCGCAGGAATCACGAGTGTTTTTGCGTTTAACTCGCAATCAACCGCGGGCTGGAGAGAATAAGATTAAGGTATGACAAATCTTTATACTGCAGCCCTGCTGTAAACATTTTTTCCTATGAGCTACACTAACGAAAATAAGAATACCGAGATAACCTCGACACTGGCGGCAGCCGCCTTCACACAAGCGCAGAGTAACAAAAGCCTTTAACACGGATGCGAGCTCAGCGTGTCATTCAAAAACTGAAGCAAGACTCGGTTCTGTAGCATCAACTACTGTACATGGTAAAAGTCAGGCTGTATCGATTACAATGATAACCAATTATTATACCCTTACAGAAACATTACATGTATCGTTACTATCATTTTATTTGCCTATGAGGCGTGACTGTACAAAACACAGTTACCTAATGTAAATGGTATATATCGTGCTCATGTACTCAATTAAAATGACAAGGCTAGCACAAACTGCAGATACACTCCCATTGCCGAGCTCGGCTTAATGACATATTAACATGTATAACATCACACAGATAGTACGGGTAACAAGTAGCACTGCGAGCTGCCTGATGGTATGTATCCCATATTTACGGTCAATAAAACCGATAAGAAAGTCGCATCGCCTATCTGAAAGTTGAGAGCATCAGTTGCCGATTAATTTCATAACCCCAGTAACCAGATTCTAGAAGGAAGGGGTTCGCGATTAACGCGTGTTTAAACGTTTCGTCGTCGGACCCCGACCACATTATTTTACAGCAAATCCTATATGCTGTTACGGGGATTGCTGTATAATCTGAGCGGCAGATACAGGGTGCGCTCAAGAAAATGCCTTCTGAAGTATCGCGGCTTGTGTCGATACCGAGGTTATCCTTTCATTAACGAGAATTGTTCAGATTACTTACAGAACTAGGCGTCGTACCTTTTTCACGCTCCAGTTTATTAAATACTAGACAGGTTAAGTAAATCAACCTGATGGTGAGGATTTCATCCCTCTTAGGGAGATAATGATCTTAAATGAAACTCACGCCTGTGTGTTCCTTCTGCAATGTGCTCCATGCAACAACAACAAAAAAAAAAAGACAGTACTTACCTACAATCCCAACAATTAAAAGTTTTAACACAAAGAGAGCATTTTTATCCATTCCGATCAAAATGAGGATCCTGCTTCGAAAAGGATGCGTTCGACACAATTTCAACTTGCCAGTAAATGCCTGTAGCGAAACATAATTCACCCGAATGGTCAACGCGAGAGCACGGGAAGTTTTTCGTTTGCGTGATCGATTTCCGTCCTCGTTTTTTATTCCAGATTTGTTTCGGGTTTTTCCCCCCCTCCTAATTAGGGTCGCGCACAGCAGTCAGTTCCACTGAGTAGTTCAGGGTGTTGATGTGCCCATTTTGACGCTTTGGGAAGTCTCCAGCCGACACGGGGAGGTACAGTAATCCTTGAGACTGTGCAGTGAAAGCAGCGGTACCAGGGGGTTCTCCGCCGGCGTGTCTGACAGCGCTCGCCTGCCCACCTCCCGGGATGACAGCGTGAGGTCCGCACAGGCAGGTCACTGGCGCACAACAGAGAGAGGAAATCACATGGCGGCCAAAATAAACACCAGCCTTTCCTCACCAACGCGACGTCTCGCCGCTCCTGGGCTTGTGTTACGTCCCCTTCCTCTGCCCTCAGCAGAGACGAGAACTTCGTGCGGCGAGTCTCCGCCGAGTGGGAACACCCTAACTGGTGAACGAGCTGACCGCTTTGTAAACCTCGCCCGTGACGAAGTTTCGGTATCTCTGACGAGGTTTCTCTTCGTCGGACCCCTTACATGTTGAGGAGTAAACAAAACATCTGAATGAGCGACATATATATATATAAAAAAAACAGACACATTCGACTGCACGCTTCCTTTCGATGAAGACATGTGCCCAACCGGTTTATCCTTGACCATTACCATTAATCGCTTGATGAACGAATGATATTCAGCTGCCTGGAAAAGGGCGAGGCTTGGCATTTTAGCTTGCAGTTAGAAGTTTTAAGAAAACGATTTTTCTTTGCGTCCTGAATGCAGGATTATTTTAGGTTTTGCAGCCAGCCACGCCACCTAGCAATTATAAGGGCGCTGGGACCTTTCTCCCATCTGCCATAGGTCCTTCATAACTCCTGCAACTACCAGTGGACCCACAGGCCAAACAGGACAGCTATACTACATGTTTATGCCTGTACAGTCTGTCAATATACCCATAACACAAACATTTCTATCAGGCCCTCCGGAGCCCAGGTGAGGCCCCCTCCTTGTTTGGGAAGAGGGGTAAAACATGTTTTAATGTAAAGACTGGCGTGATGGGAAGATTAAGGCGGGCATTGTGAAACTCCTAAAGGAGGGTAGATTCAGCACTGAAAGCCATGGACTGTAGTCGAGAGTCGCAGTATGTGGTGAAAGTTCCACATTCGACTCAAGTCGGGAAACAGAGCTGAAGGGTTGAAGTGGGGGACCAGGCACCCCCTCGTAGGGGACCTACAGCTGCCCACCTGTCACACAGAAAATATGAGACCAATTATTGCCACGGTCCCGGGGCGCACACTCTCCTCTCTGCACGGGTTTACGCTGAACAAGGAAAATGGTAGGCCTCAGGGCACCATCAGGTGTAACGATGAGGATTCCTTGCATTGATACAATGCATTTCATCTCAAAGGATCCCAGGGCAGATCTCGTACACATAGGAGGGGATCCGCTATATCTACCGCTGAAGTTCAGCCCCATCTGGGAGACACACAGCGGCCATTCTGCACCAGCAGCCCCACTGGGAGACACACAGCGGCCATTCTGCACCAGCAGCCCCACTGGGAGACACACAGCGGCCATTCTGCACCAGAAACCCCACTGCACAATGCCTCAGGTGGAGAAGTGAGATAGTACAGTACTTTACTAGTTGGATTTAGAGGAGCTTTATGGAGCTGAGACTGTATAAGACCAGAGGGGAATTTGTCTAGGACACTGGACTTAAAAACCCCAGCTCCTTTAAAAAGTGCCAAGGGATCTTTAAAGATCATCTCCTCGGGATCTTGTTTTATTTGTTTGGTTCATTTCATGTTCCGTTCATCAAACAACATTTTCATCAGTCATTTTGGAAAGAAAACTCTCATATGTGCTGAGAACCCTAAATATTTGTAAGCTAAGTTTTATAATGTAGATTTTTTTGTTGTGTCTAAGCGTTTTGCTCTGTAATACCTGTTATGTGTACTGTTTATACTAGAATGAGTAATATTTATTGTATTTTTAATACCTCTCAGAATATATATAATAGAGAGTTGCACCAGAAATAACTGTTTATTAGGTTTTTACATTCTCACCATATTGGAATTTAATTCATTTTTCAGCTGCTATTATTACTTTTTATTATTACCATTACTTGCTTATTTATAATTTTCTCCTCTTTACTATTAAAATAGCAAACATCAATCTAAACATCTTTTTAAGTACGACTCAGCATCTGTTGGTGAGTGGGTGTGCATATTATTACTTGTGTCTAAGGAATACTTTTGGATGAAAAAAGTGCTAGTACAGCAAATATTGCTGCAAGTGATCACATCCAGGTGCTCTTTGAAGGGTTTCCATGCCTACAGCAAGTAGATTATGCGGGAGACTATATAAAAACTATATACTGTATAATGTTGTGGGTAAAATATAAAAAACAAGACACTGAGATCATGGTGTGAGGTGAAAATGCATAATTCCCTTTATCTTTGAACAACACTTTATATATTAAAACACATTCACTTCCTTTTATTTTTCTAGATAATTTAAGTACTTTAGTTTTCACCAAAGTCACAAATTACTCAGCCTGCCCTAAGGACCAGACAGAAAAGACTATGCTGAGTGGATTTACATAATATTCTGTACAGTAGATGCACACCTTCCAGATTTATTCATACCCCCGATGAAACAGGAACAAGAACATCATAAAACAGAAGGCATTACAGAAAAAAATAGACGTATGTCATACTGTATCTTCATAGAGCAAAGTCATATTATTTTTTGTCCAGAAAACATGAGGGTCATATTTTTTCACACTCCCATATTTAGTCTTTTATATTTTTTGTTTGTTAGGGTTTTCTCAACATGAACTTCATCTTTTTTATGCCAAACATATCTCTGATGAGCATGTCCTAAAAGCTTGATTTTTCTTTCATCTGCCCATGATACATGGTTGCGATAGTTTTTCAGGTGCAAACTGCCTCTTTTTCTGGCTTGCCCTCAGAAAAGGATTTTTCCTTGGGACTCATTCATGAAGGCCACAGTCATACAGACAAGATCAAATTTCAGTTTTCAACACTGCTCCAATGAAACTACTGTTTATTTTTTTTATTTTCCTTTGCAAATACGTAAACGAGTTAACTCAATTTCAGCAGGCCACTATGCATATTGCCAGCACAGGGAAATAACTGCAGTCAATAACATGCTTGACTGTTTTGATTAAACTTGCAATCAGTTCCTGAGCAGTGAAAGAGCTCCCTGTTTGTCACAGAGTGATGCCTTTTCACTACATTTCATCCAAAGGGTCACATAAATGTTGATTAAGGGTGCAGCAGGTACTGTAAATTACCAAATGGCTGGATGAAAAGTGATATAGTTACATCTTAGGGGAGACAGGAAAAAACTAGACTGGAAAAACACAACTTTCTCTTCCCCTTTTGTTACATTTGTACACACACAAAACATCTCATAGAGGAATTTGTTGTGACCTTTTACAGACTTACTTTGCAAGAAAGCTGCTCAAAGGTCAGAGCAGTTCTTGTAAATGTGTGTTGGGACATTTTCATTCCTGAATTGTCGAACAACAAAGATAGCAATTTCTGGATGAAACATTTAATCTCTGGAATACTACGGAGAATGAAATAAAGAGGTCATCTCGAAGGTGTAAATCAGGTGTAAATACTGTATATATATTTTATGAGCACTGTCATTATTATACAGATATATGATTCAGTGTACAGTATTTTGTGATGATGACCAAATCTCTGAAATGTTCAGTGAACTTTATTGTAAGTAATGTGTATTCTTTTCTCGGACCATTTTAAAAGATCACACATATGATGTACTAAACACACCCAATATGATTGGGAAATAATCTGCTATTCTGAGGAGTAGACGTTTGTTTGAATCATAGGAAACAAAAATCAGAACTATAGAATCTGTGAGTCACAGTGAAAGCGGGCTACAATTAACTTGTGCTTCATGAAAAAGTTGTTCTAAACAGACACTCAATGGCCTGTGTGGCCTGATATATGAATTTAGACATTAATTAGACATTTAATGTTGGATCGTTTTATTCAATGAATGCATGAAAAAGTAAATCCTTTTGTGTGTTATTTGTTTAATTGGGTTCTCTTTGTCTATTTTTATGACTTAGGTGAAGATCTGATCACATTTTTTAAGTCACATTCATGCAGAAATTCAGAAAATTCTAAAGGCTTCACAAACTTTCTAGAACCACTGTAGTAAACAGAGATCCCTCTGTGCACACAGACCCAGTACCTTCTAGACAGGGATTAGCCTGCTCTGGGTGATTACTTGCTGTTCCTATACTAAACTGCTGAGCTCGTCGCCTCACAACAGGCATAGGAGTGCGTCAGTGCAATGGGGGAAGAAGATGTAACCAGTCAAGCGAGAGCTGTGCAAGACGGGGACTCGTTACACCAACCTGACACACCATTCAAAACAAGGGAACAGAAAGCTGGGTGATGGAAACAGGGGATAAAACAGTGCAAAACCACCATCCGCATGCCTTCTGGAACAGCCAGTAGCAATTGAATTACAGTCTTAATGTCCACTTAATGAGCCCTTGGAATCTTTTCAGCTGAACTGTAGACAGAGACACAGCAGTGAAAAAGCCCAAATTAAGTCAGTTAATGATGTGCTCATAGCATCTGACTCGGCATCACTGAATAGTCTTCTCCTTCTCCACTTAAGTGCTGTTTTTGACAAAGTACAGCATTCTTCTGGATCACACCGAAATGTAAGTAGGAATGACTGGCTCTTCTCCTCTTTGGCTCAGATCCTACTTGGCGACCAGGAGTCAGTTATATTATTTCACACCATGGACTGGGGTTTCTCTGCTGACTACACTCAGATTTATGTGCAAACTAAATCAGATATGACCGCTGCAGTCTGCTTCACCGCCGCCTGTCCGATACTATCTGTAGACATACTTGTTAGACGCAACACAACTTTCTTGAGCTTAACAGTGACAAATCAGAAGTACTGATCATGAGAGAGATCACTTTATTGGCCATATGCAATCTCTTGCATTAGGAATTTGTCTTTTCACAGACCGCAGAGCGCAGGGTCAGCCATTCATACGGCACCCCTGGAGCAGTTGGGTTGAAGGGCCTTGCTCAGGGGCCCAGTGGAGTAGGATTCCTCTGCCAGCTGTGGGATACAAACCGGCAACCTTCCAGCCACAGGCGCAGATCCTGAGCCACAGAGCCATCGCTCCGCCCCAAAAGCATCATGGGCTCCCAACTTCGGCTACACAAACGTGATGCTGGTGGTAGTGCTGATGTTAAACCCTTGACAGAATTTAAGAGCCGGTGCTATTTTTAGTGGGTATTGTCATTAAACGTGCATGGCAGGAATGTCAGAAGGGTGTGTTTCTTCAGTTAAAACCCTTGCTCTGCCAACATCAAGCTGAAAAATTGATATGCACTTTTATTTAATTAAAGTTACACTGCTTTAAAACCTTTTTTTACTGAGTTGCCTACTAAAGTACTAGATGGAATCCAGAATTCTGTGGTTAAGGTGCTGACTAAAATTACTCTACTTTAGTATTTAACTCACGGCTGCTGTAAATTGCTCTGGCTTCCGATAAAATTTACAAATGGACTAACGTAATGTTTTAATGTTTCTTTATTAGCCCTATACAATTTCTTGCATTAGGAATTTGTCTTTTCGCAATACCCCAGCTTTTCTCCATGGAGACACAGACACGGAGAGAGAAGCTTGGGGTCAGAGTGCAGGGTCTGCCATTGTATGGCGCCCCTGGAGCAGTTGGGGTGAAGGGCCTTGCTCAGGGGCCCAATGGAGTAGGATTCCTCTGCCGGCTGTGGGATTTGAACCAGCAACCTTCCAGCCACAGGCGCAGATCCTGAGCCACAGAGCCACCACTCCGCCCCACTAGGTTCTCCTCTTACGTGTTGGACACTATAGCTAATAAAAAAGGATTTATTAAGTATAGCCCAAGGGAGGCATGGAGGTGCAGATGTCAGAGTTACTGCCTCACAGCACTGGGGCCCTGTTCTCAATCCCAGACTGGGGCTGCTGTCCGTGTGGAGTTTGTATGTTCTCCCCGTGTTTCCTCCAGTTTCCTGAAACCCTGGTGTGAGTGTGTGTGTGTGTGTGTGTGTGTGTGTGTGTGTGTGTGTGTGTGTGTGTG